CACTACCGCGGAAGTTGACATAGCTGGTGGGAGGTTCAGGTTTGTTGGCACTGCCATTGTTCATATCAAAGTCATTTTGCAGTTCAAGCTGAGATATGGTCTAGATTTAGAGGAAATGCAGAGAGAAAAGTATACAGAAAAGGTCACAGGATGTATTTTCAGAAAATCTTTCTAATATTTAACTAAGTGGGGAATAACATTGGAATCATGACCCATTAAAAGTCATACTTGAGCCTTCATTGTGACCAAAGAGCTGGGTTTCCTCCTTTTTGTCAGCTTATCCTTTTTCTCCTCTTTTGCCTTTTCTTTCTGTTCTTTCTCTAAGAACTTCCGCCTGGCCAGGATAAGTTTGCCAGGGTCCAGGCCGGTCTAGACAAAAGCATGTAGATGTAAACACACATATGCCACACAGACACATTCATTCAAACCAGGTTGCTAACCTACCTTTTTGATGACCCTCTGGCGAAATATTTCAGCATTTGCAAAATAGAGCGGTGAGCAATAGTTCACTATTTTCACACCTGTTATTGACATGACCTGTGGAGTTATTATAAAGAAATTAGATACAATTCCCCTTACATTTTGTAACAACAAAAAAGCACAAATATATTTAGTTATCATACCTTGCTGTACACCTTCGGGTTTTTGTAGATATCTGTGTCCACAATCTGAACCATTGCCGAACCATTACGACTATGAGGAACACATTATTAAAATAAATATTATAATAATATACAGTTTACACCCTGCTGTATTGTATTAAGCTTCAAAAATAGAGCATATTGCATGGCGTTTACTCACAACTGCGTCTTGAATATCACTACCAGGACGGAAAAGCCTACTCCAACAGCAACTCCATAAGGCAAGCTGAGAAAGAATGTGGCCAAGAACGACACAACCCACACACACTGGAAGAGAAAGAACAATAGAATAAGCTAAAACATGTAAAACAACAACAAAAAAAACAATCCAATATTGCATCCAAGGGTTTGACTTACACAGTCTAATTTGCTTTTTTTCCATAAGTAATAGGGATCGGAGATCTGTAGGAGCGTGTTCTTCAGGTTGACTGCAATCAAGGCTCCAAGCACTGACTAAGGAAACCAACATTACATAGATCACCAGTCAGCCCTAGACTTTTCTCCTATCTCTACTTAAATATTTTGTCTAATTTTTAAAGGCACCAGTATCATACTCTTATGTCCACCTACTTTTGGAAGTGGTTTCAGATAGGCTCCCAATGCAAGCATCGTAACCATTACAACCAGCATCACGCAAAAACTGGCAAACTATGGGAGGGCAGCAACAGAGGTGCATTATTTAGCAGTTTCAGATATTATTTTCTATTTAGTCCATATAATTTTTCATGAAATTAAACACAGTAACACAGGACACACCTGTGATGTTCCACCAGCATTGTCCACAGCCAGGGTCACAGACAGGGCACAGCAGATCACATGGATCTTAAAGAAGGCCCCGAGGAAATTGCTGCAGCCAAGAGCCAACATTTCCTGTACATCAACATGCAGGTGGTATTTATGAAATGGAATAAAATACAGCTTTTGAACTAGTAAATATATGCAATTTTTCTACCTGGTTGGGATCCACATCGTAGCCATGCTTGGCTGCCAGTGTCCTGCCCATAGCCAAGTTGATGACATACCCCACGATTGCCAGGGAGAAAGCTGTGCTCAACATGTCTTCCCACTGACTCACTGTGGGCAGGATTGGTGCAGGGAATCTGGAAAATAGAGACAAGAAATACATCTAAATTGAATAGTAACAAATGAGTTGCATGATTAGTTTTAGTTCATGAAGCAAAACAATTGATATTAAGTATGCTGATGTATGCTTTACCCCAAAGGAATTTCTCCCACTATGTCCATGTGATAGATCTCAGGAAGATGCAGAGGGCCTGAGATGGCTGTGGCCACCACCACCTGTGAGGAACAGGAATAGGGACCGGTCATTATGGAACTGTACTGTATATTCCATCCATTAAAAAATCTGAGCAACAGCTACACGAAATTAAACAGATTGAAACAACTTACAATAATGATCTCCATAGGAATGGGGAAGGGCAGCTTGTGGCGGTAGCGTGCGCTCAGCTCCTTCACCACAATCAGAACTACACTGCTGACCAGTGCAAATAGTAACGATGCTATGTTGGTATCAGGAAGGCCACGTATAATATCTATGAGAGTCTGTGACAAAGAATTAAAATGGAACATTTTATTGGCAGACCATACAAGCAAAGTCTTGATGTTCTTTGGTCACAGTATGAAAGGGTCGCTTACATATATAACAGCCAGCGGACCACTATAAGGTGGTACTTTGATGCCAAAGATGTACTTGAGCACTGAGATGAGGATCTGCAATCCTGCAGCAGTCATGAAGCCTCTGACGAAGGATTCCGACAGATAGATGGCTATAAACCCAAACTGCATGAAGCCAAGGCCAATCTACACAGACATAAGTACTTCTTAGTGTGTCACACTTAGATCAAACTGTACTTCACATTTATTTCTTTTCTTTTAAATTTCACTTTAAAAGACTAAGCTTTTAGTGCTATGAGTACCTGTATGATTGCAGTAAGACAGGCAAGGGTTCCAGATATCCCCAGGCGAACCTCATTCATCAGGTCTGTGTCCACTATTGTAGCATTAAGAGTGGCATTGAAATGACTAAAGTCCGACTCTGGGGCCAGCCTAAGACATACGATTCCCACCATAATGCTGAGGACAGCAAATGTACCTGGACATAGAAAGTAGTGTGTCACGTCTGTGCCGTTCTGCAAACTGGGCAGAGTCAGGCTGAGCGCAGCTGATCTGCACTGTGCAGCTCTGGCAACTTATCACTGTCATTATATGAAATCGCTGTAGATAAATCACTCTGATTTACCTGGGACCATCTGGTGAGCAGTGCCCATGAAGAAATAAGGGATGAGGGGGAAGAAAGAGGAATAGAGACCGTTGACAGGAGGGAGGCTTGCCAGGAGGGCAAATGCCATGCCTGGAAAGAACAGAAACCTTTTTATAACTGTCACATAAATCATGATAACATAGAAAAATACAAAAACTATGTCATAAACTGCAGCCAACACTGCAGCAACTAGCATCAGTGAGCATGCATTATGCAGAGGCATCAGAGAGAGGAGAGAATTGACTGACCTTGGGGAACCTGAATGGTACCAGCGCTGACCCCGCTGATGACATCACACAGCAGGTTTTCTTTCACTTTGTACTTGGGAAGCCAGCTCAGCACAGGCAGATGTCTGAATAACAAGCCCTTCAGTCTCGACACAGAGCATCTGACAGAAACAAACAAGAGAAACTCTTTGAAGAAATCAGGTTTTATGGTTGTTTCTTTGAAAAAGTCCTTAACACATGTCTAAACTTTGTATTGAGTCATAGCTACAGGGCTCTGCACTATTTGATCACAACACAAAGCTTGTCAGGGGTAGAAACTGTGTGATACGAAGACATGTAGTTTGTGTTGACTGTGGCAAAGAGATTGTAATTCTGTACCTGAAGAGTTTCTTCACTTTCTCTCCAACAGGGAATTGTCGACTCTTCTTGTCAAACTCTCTGTCGAAATCTGGGAGGTTGTATGCCGGCCTATCAATCGCATAACGTGGGCGGTCCGGGTGCATGACTATAGCATACTGAAACATATTAAGTCCAAACAGAAAAGTCTCTCTAATACTGTCTCCTCAATGGGCAATTTAAAGAATAACACCAACTGACTAATTCACCACATATAGCCTATATGCACTTGACTGTTATATTATTATACTAATAATGTAAAAGCAAAATTTTACTGTTGTAGTTGGTTGAGGTTGAGTTAATCAATTGAGTCTACATTTTATTTCCCTCTAAAAATGTTGTGGAGTAGAAGATGAAAGTGACATGAAAAGAAAATACAAGTACATCAAATATGTACTTAAATACAATACTTGGGGAAATTTACTTACTGCCTGAAATTAGTTTGCACATTTTAAACAAAAGCAAGCCTAGTCCAATTGATTTAAGGATTATATTTATATGGTTGTGGAAACATGGGGATCTTTAGAATTGCACAATTGTTGACTTACGTTTAAGTGGCATATTTCAAGTGCAAGGCCCTAATCTAACCTTGAAGGGTGAAGATCAGCCAACAGGTTGGTGGACTGCTAAATATTTGTTCAACACCAGATAAATAATAGCACACGGTCAAGTTCACAAGTACCACAATCCATGTTTTAAAAGAAACTATATTAAAATGCTAATATCTGCAGTTAAAAACATGGGCATATTAGTACTTAAAATGTAAAATATTGTCAAATTATTGTTTAGATGTCATGACAGGAAATTACTAATTTCAAACAAAAAACATAATTTATTTACATTGGCGTAATCGTTTATTTACGCCAAACATTTCTTGTCATACTGAAAAGCATTTAAGCAGGGTTAAAGCTTAAGACGAAATAACTGAATATAAAGATGAAGTTGCAAAGAGATTCTTCACTATTTAATAAAAGAACACCTGTTGATATTACATCTTTTCGATCGCTGTCAAAAATGTGCTTTTGAAACTTTTTTTTTTCTGATTAATTTGTACAATTGTCTTTCTTAAAATGTTTATGTCCTCTTACAAGGATGTCAGTGATAAATTAATTAAAATATGAGCAAGTAATGAGCTGCCCTCGTAACACATTGATTTCAATGTTAGTAATATACTTAGAATATCTACTTCTGTATTAATATAGAAGTCCAAAAAGACAGCACTGTACCTTATTGCTGAAGCACGTCTGCAGGCATTTGGCTCAAATACATGTATTGCCCACTTTGATTACTTATCAAACTAACTAAAGACTCTCTACACCTTCTGGGTGGAGCTTAGAAACTGAAAAGCTTGAAAACCTTCAGCACACACAGGGACAGCTGAATCCCTTAAAGTGTTGATTTGTTGTGCTGCTGTATGTGTGTGTGTGTAGTACAGAGCAAGAAGACAACATGATGTAATTAACAATAAATGCAACTTTAATGGGTTCAGTTACTATATACACATGTAGCATCCTCACATTCATTCTCTCGTCAACAAAAATATATTTAAACATATTTTATGGTAAAAGGTAGACATAAGCAACAGCTGGAGCTAATCCACTTACAAAGCCTAGTTTAACTTGACTTACACAAATCATACTAACTGTAAAATAAATGATACATATAAATAGTGTATTTCAACATTAAAAAGGGTGAGACAGAGATGACAATGTGTAAAACATGATTTCTTTTTCCATTGTATCAGAATCTGTGTGCAAAACAACGGCATCAATATCAAGACTAAAGTGCAATTATTTATCAAATCCATGTGTTTTTCTCTGAAGAGGAATACCAGAATTATCAAGCTCTATCAAGTCTCCCCCTTGTGGAACAAAAGATGAAAAGCACAAATTCCACAGGAATGCCTTTTCTTTAGTTCTTGTGAAAAGAACAGCGGAATATAAAGAGAGAAATAAAGTCTGTAGATATTGAAAAATGGTTTCTTAAATTGCTTCACTGATGAAGAAGGGAGCTAAGAGACTTTGCAGACAGGAGATATGAATAGTCTGTGGTTCAAAACTGCAAAATGTGAAAAAGCTCATACAAACATTCAAGCACTCCAACAGGAACTGTCAACCTAGCATTAGCAGAGTGGCTTCAGGTACGGCGTTCAGGTTTGAGTTTTGGCTCTGAGGTTTTCAGCTATCACTTCCTTTTACATAACTAGTGATTGGATTAAAGGTGGGGATTTCCTTGTTCCGCGTTTTTCCTTTAGTTGTTTTAAGATTAAACAATCCCATGACAAAAATATGTCTGAAAAACCACCTGAATGCCCCTTCATTAATAGCCTTGAGCAATTCATTCAAAAGCAGTTCCAGTCTTTAGATGTTTAGACTTATGACTACTTACAGGGATATAATATGTGGGTCATTAGAAGTAGGAGAACAGGTTACAATACAAATACAGAGATCGTTAAGCAAGTGCAACAAGTGCCAACTCCATGTGGTAAAAGTCAGATGACTTTTTAATCTATCCATGTCTGCTTTTCCTCTTCTTTGTAACAAAAGCTCTTTGACCAGCTCCTGCTGGCAGCCTAAACCCCCTCAAAGTCCATCACAGTCTTTAAAATCAGTACTGACTAGAAATCACTGAGGATGCTGATGTCTGCAAACTCCTGGCGATATCTGTGCGAGTATAAAGCCAAGAGGAAGGACCATTTGAGAGTCAGGAAGCTCCACACGCAGGAGAGATAGAGGCTCCTCGGGTCAGTGGGAGCTGTGGGAAGTAAAAACGCAGGGTGATGATTACATGCATCAGGAAATCAATCATCTGAGTCAAAAAGCATATGAGTTGTTAATAATGTTATCTTTGAAATCTCTATTGTACTGAACATTACTCATTATAAAGCAAGACCAACAGAGAGAGGATTACATTGCTGTTGTGTGATGGCAAGAGTTAGGAAGGTGATGAAGGCAGCCACTGCCAAAACTGAGAAGAGCACACCAACACCGATGAAGAACTTGAGGCCTTTGAGCCAGGTGCGCCAGTAGTCCTGCAGGTACATGATGTGTGTGACAAGAGCCCAGAGAGCCAAAACCCCTGTCAGAAGAGAGAGAGAGAGAGAGAGAGAGAGAGAGACACACACACACACACTTTCATTAAGTGCAATTTAAAACTAGGCCGATGCAGCATAAAGACTATATTTAAATAACTGGAGCACCATATTAAGTCCACGTTATGTCTTTAAATATTCAGTTGACAAATAAGACAATGAAAAACAGAAATATAATATATATATATATATATATATATATATATACACACACACACATACACACACACACACACACACACACACACAAACACACACATATATATATGCCAAACAAGGTTTGAGGTTATTCAGTGTCAAATGTGAAATGTCACTCTCAGTTGGTATGTTGGTCAACTGTTATGCGTTTATGTAATGCCAATATTAGCCTCAAAAATCCAATATTGTTTAGGCTTCAATACATATGGACATCCTTATTATTCAAAACGTGACATTCACTAAAACTAGTCTTCTTTATGGCACAGTGAGTGAATGCTATTATAAATGACACTGAGGAATCCACAAATCTGATCACAAAGTGTGACCTACATTATAACATCCAGCCTAGCACAGAACAACAACACATTCAAAACTAATACTGCCAGGATGTGTGTTGTAAAGCTTGTAGTGACAACACTGAGAGTAAATAAAGAACACAACAACAACAAAAACAACAAATGTAATATGATATGACTGTGCTGTGATGTTTGACTGTGCAGGCCTGGTTAAGTTAAATGCTCCAATATCATTCTGTCAACATGTTAACTTTACAGTAATCGCTATAAGTGTGCCAACATACCCGACAGGCCTCCCATAGCCGCCGTCCATGGTTGTTTGTACGCAATATTCCACACCAAGAAAGCCGAAAGTCCAACCAGGGTGCCAAAGGTAGCATATCCTATGCTAATGTAAACTCTGCTGATCCCCATTGTTAAACCCGAACTACTGCCACCGAAATGTTAGCGACAGGCGTCAAAAGATACAGCTACGTACTTTCAAAAAAAAAGAAAAGGAAAAAGAAAAGCAGACTGGTATCGAGCTAACATCAACAGCTTACCGCCACATTACATAACTAATATCCTTGATACTAACGACAGGGAAAAAAACGACCACATGAAATCCCCCCTCGGCTGAACGACCAGGGAGAACGACGCCTGTCGCTGTTAACAAACAAATAACTAGTTTTGGAAAATAGCTGAATAATAAGCCCTGGTCGTGTGCCTCTTACTGTCGATGGCACATTTAAGATTTCTAACTAACAAGCTGCAACAAAACAACCAGTGTTTATCTGATGTGCACCGCAAAGATGGTAGGCTGTGCTCCTGAAGACGACCACCACCGTGGATCCCTGTGTTCAGCCGACGCTACAACACACCGGTGGAGGTTGAATTTAATCCGTTTTATTGGTCTCTACGTGTTCTTCGGTCTCATATAACACTCAAAATACAAAAAAACTGGTGTTGCTGTGTTGAGAAAGAGAGAATCTCTCATGTTTTATTTTTCAACAATTCACCCTAGAGTCATCTATCACTTGTACATAAAATATCTTTGCACAGAGGAAACCCCCGACTCGCCAACATACCGCCCCCTAGTGGCTGAAACAGGAACGGCAGGTTAAACCTCTTATGCCAAAGCTGTCGACATAATTTTGGTGACTTAGTCTTTCAGATGTACATTGGGTAAGAGTTAAAAAAATTTTAGGTTACACGAAGGCCATTGGCAGCTCAGTGTAAAGGCATTTCTTGTTTCATTTAGTTTGATTACAATAAATTACTATAAACAGGTCAGGCAAATAAATATATAACTGTGTTAATACAGAAATAAAGACAGTAATAGTTGACAAACATAAAACAAAAAAGCACAAAAATAAAATAAAATTGCATCTACAAAGATATTCACATGTAAACATGACCCTGGTTAGATGTGCGCAGGTAGTTAGTGACTTTCTCTGCAGGAAACATTAAAGCATAATATTATTATTTATTCTGAGCAATGTTTTATAGTTTGACTATAAATCTAAACACTCAAGCATTGAAATCTGAGCTTCAGTACTTTCTTGTGGTTTGTAGCAGCTGTGCTGCAGACAAGGTTGTTGCAGATGAAAACCACAACATTTACTTATAGCTGTGAAAGCTAAACCAAAGATTCTGCAGTCTTCACACATTCTCACACACATCACTGTGCCTCACTGCTGTACTCAGCCCATGCCCTGGGGCGCTCTCTTCATGACCAATCAGAAAGATACAGGAAGCTGTGTCCAGCAACACTCCCCACAACTCACATAAACTGAAATGACTGAGAAATCATCCTCGGACATGTGAACGGAGCAAAGGCTGAAAAGGGAAAGCAAAAAGAGTGGAAATCTACAGGCTGAAGAATCTTACAAGAGCGTGCCAGTGGTAAGGTACAGATCACCTTTTAAAATAATTGAACAGGATCGCTTGGTTTATAATATTTTTGTATAATTATTATAGTTCTTCAGATGTAATGTAAGATGAATACATTACAAATACGATACAAAAAAAGAATGTAAGATTGTCAGACACATTATCATAGGTCTGCCCTATACATTTTATGAGCAGTTTTTGATTTATACAGATAATTTTACATCACAAGTGTTTAAAATTTAAAGACAAAGCAAGTCATACTCTAAATAATATGTTGAAGATATTTATTGCTTATTATTGTTTATAACTGAATTAACTGATAAGGTAAGGAAGTAACTATCACCATGTGACTGCGCAGGAGGTACATGTGTCAGAATGATGCTGACAAACTGGAGGGTTGTTGTCCTTTTTGTTGTTGTTGCAAGGTTTAGGTTTTAATGCTTTTGCTCATGTCTGCCTCACCTTCTGCCCCAGTCCTCATTTGACCATGGGGTCAAACGAATAAAAGATGTCTCCCTCTCTGTCACTGCTAACTGGCCAGGAAGGAAAAGGTGTGTGTGTGTGTGTGTGTGTGTGTGTGTGTGTGTGTGTGTGTGTGTGTGTGTGTGCCACCAGACAGGCACAACAAAGACAGTTGGCAAAGTACACATTCCTTGGGCGTAGATGTGTTGCAGGAAATCCCACTCCCATTCCCGGAGGATCTAAATAGAAACATTCGCACACAGAAATAAATATAGAAAGAAAAGAGAAAGAAACACAGAGACACAGACAGAAACAACACACTAACATTATTAGTTTACTTAGTAAACTTGACTTTAAGTAAATGTTTTAAAATTTTTTCATTAACATACATCACTAAAACTTACATTGATATAGTTTTCTACACTTATTAGGACTCTTAAATGTAGCGATTCCTACATAAAAAGGAAATAAATTGACAGATTATTTTCTAAATCTCTAAAACTGATCATTTTATACCGTTTTAGGATTTATGTGTAAATTTGACAAAGGCTTACATGAATTTCCTCTCCACTTGATGCAGATTGCAGGTCTTTGTGTTCTCAATAGAGGGCAGCATTTATTTTAAAAATGCCAGGCGGGAATATGAAGTGAAGCTTTATGCAACAAAGTCTCCTGGAACTTGTGTGTCAATCAAGAGTTCAAGGTGTCAGCAGCCTAGATTTAATCTCTCCTGTGAGGTGGATCTTTTTGATGGTCACAAATGTACAAAATGCTCTGAACCTAAAACAAGGTCATGCAACAATGTTGCAGCATTAATGAGCTTTCATTTCAATCCCAGGCCCACAAAGCAATTACCGTCCTTGAATTTTCTGGCTTTATTGTTCAGAAATCAATCCTGAGATTATCCCCATCCAGTGTAGATTAGCCTTGTAGAAAGCAGTTTGGTTCTTTAGTTTCACTTTAGTCTTTTATATTTTGGTATACAACTGCCATTAATCTTTCAGAAAACTCTCCTTTTTCTCACTGATTTGTACAGTGGGACATTACTGAGACAATCACAACAGTCACTTTGTCAGATACCATCAAACAGACTGTAGCAATGTGCTCTTTCTTATCAGCTAAACTATCATGTTGACATTCCCTTAGGAGGTCATAAGAAGCAAAACTGGATTCCTTCATTGTGAGCATTCTTAATTTGGCATCTTAGAGTCCCTGTGAGGCATTTTAAAGAAACAGAGAGGCACATGAGTTTAGCAAGAGCACAGAAAGCTTATTGCCCAAGTTTTAAAACAGTATTTTCTGTTTGGTTTGCTTACTTACTTACTTACTGCTTACTTTTAAAACTGGCTTTTGGACAGTTGTGACTGGAGGATCCTCATGATTTCATGGAGGTCTAAACTTGGTAAGAAGTTGCTGTTTTTTTCCCTTTGAGACTGTATAAGATATGCCTCACAGTAGCTTCAACGTTCAGGGTGTGCAATGAACCGTTTGTTATGCATTAGAGATGAAGGGGTGCTGTGATTCAAAGTGAATGGAGTTCTTTCTGTAGGCTCCCGTTCACTCACCACATGCACTAATGGAGGAGGGCTCCAAGAAAGAAGCAGTAATGTCTAAAACAGGTAACATACAGGAGCAACAGGTGCTATAACTTATTGCACACAAGAGGCAGTTGCCCTCCTACATCTTTCCAGTTGGAAGAACAACCAAATCAGAGCATGGGAAGTAGGACAGATTTCAAGTTCTTGACTGTGTGTGTGGAAAGCCATGGCAAACTGACTCAGGCTTTGAGGTCAGTACAGGAAGGGCAGCCCTGCACTGGAACAATAGCTGGGATTTAAACAAGTCTTACATAACATGTCCAGCCTGCGGGACACAGTTGACCATGATCCAGTTATAACTAGAGGTGCATGGGAAGCCAAGTTAAATAGAGGAACCCCTTGTCCTTGTTTGTCAGTCTTACATGTCTTTGCTGCACTTTGTCTTATAACGAGCAACAGTACATTCCTGTGTTTCTTTCTTGCCTCTTCAAGAAAGTAATTATGACTGTTTCTCCGTATTTCACACAGCCACGAGCCATCCTCACTATGGAGAACTTGGTCAAATCCATCTGTTCTCCACTAAGACGTTGTACACCAGAGATGGGGGAAGTAAGTCATCTGCCTTTATCGTAAAAACACAAACAAAGTCAATAAAATAACTCTGAACCAAACACACACAAGTCTGAACCAGAGAGAGAGAGGCCATAGAGAGCGATACATTCACAGCTAAACATCCCATCTGTTGCTGCAATATACAGCCTTATGAGTTTTATGAATCCATAAACCAGTAATGGGTATGTAACAGTTTAACACCTGCACAAAGGACAAACACCTGTCATCAAACTGAGAACAAGAACTGAACAAAACTACTGATGAGAGACATCGAGTGCTGTTCTCCAACCTTAACCGCTTTCTGCCCTTGAAAGAGTTTATCTGCAAGTCCATGTGCCTACAGACCCGGCTGAGCCAGACAGCTGGACACCCTGATAAGTGTGCATGCAGAGTTCTGTGGCTCATGTGGGCTGCTCTCACTGAACTACTGCACTGAACAAACTAGACCACACAGTGCCTGCATGGTATGCCTCCTTTAATGACCTTGACCCAGTCTGTTGAACCAGCAGTGTCAGGTGAACAGCTCAACAGGTAGTTTGTAGTGTTTGTGTGCTTTCTTTGACATTTTCATCACAGGGATGTGCTTCAGGTTAAGCCCAGGATAGATACTGAAGGTCATTTTGTCTATTTGGGGATTATGTTTACCACCTTAAAGTTACACGTCCAGGTTTTGTCACCTTTAAATGCTGCATCTATTAATGAAATCTGGATGAAACAGACCCATAAATTCTGTTAAGTGACATTTTATAAACTACAGGACAAAATACACAGTGCCTACCTGCCTACACACACACAGAGGGTGCAAAGATGTCAAGTTCAATAAATCACACGCCATTAATTAGGCAATAAATATGCCTGAGGAGGCCGTCGGTCGGATGCCACCGTGTAGTTCCTTGCCAAAGCCCAAAGAGCGCACACACGCAACTCATCAGTGCGCCTGTGCTGCGGGGGATGGCTGAGCACTACACACCCCGTGCTCACCGAGGCACAGACGCCTAGCGAGGTAACCCGTTTGGGTTCGGATGCAGGGACGACATACAGAATCCAGCATGGATCTCGGGGGACAGAATGCGGAGTCCTGAGCTGACACTGAGGCTGGGTTGTGTCGTCGCTGTACAGTAAAGAGCGGGTCGATCTACTGCGCCGCGAATAATGTCTGGAGGTGCTCCAGCTGAGTCCGTATGCAGATCTTCTGACTGGGAAAGTTGTTTGTCGGTTGTTTTGATCTGAGACAAGATGCATCTGTTTCGGAGTCACAATTACCAAGTGTTCCCGGACCGCTACTCAGTGGAAACACCGACCATACGAGGCATCAGCTGGGTATGCTGTTTTAATGTTTACTTGGGAGAAATAACTGCGGAGTAGCTCATGGAACTCAGACAGGGATTGGTATACTGTATGTGGGCACACAAAAATGATCATGAGAGGA